TGTGTTGATGAATTGATTTACCAATTTAGCTTGACTAGCTTCGATGAATTTGATTTGTTTCATTTTGGTCCGTCACACTAACAGTTACAATTACAAAAAACAAGTCCGTCCAATGTAACTATTTCAGTTTTCTCACTTAAATATTTCTATAACCAGAAAGGCTGCTGTGAGTGATAGATGGAACATTGTGTACTTGGACATTACATGTGTATTTGATATGACAACTGTTGTGATAGTGGTTTCTAAAAAGTGTTTGGTGCCTCTGAAGATGATCCAAATGGATCGAAACACGTGAGGCTAGTGAATCATCAAGTGAGAAAACTGAAACAGTCACATTGGACAGACTTGTTTTTTGTAATTGTAACTGTTAGTGTGATGGACCAAAATGAAACAAATCAAGTTCATTACCGTGTTCACAAGAGCCCTCTACTGGTCCCTATCCTGAGCCAGATCAATCAAATCTATACCATCCCATCCTATCTCTCTAAGATCCATTTTAAAATTGTCCACCCACCTACACCTTGGTCTTCCCAGTGGTCTCTTTCCTTCTGGCTTTCCCACCAATATCCTATATGCATTCCTTTTCTCCCCCATTCGTGCTACATGCCCTGCCCACCTCATCCTCCTTGACTTGATCAACTCTCATCTTGGAATATACGGATTAAAAGTGAGCAGTCATCAATGCATCTGACATTGTCATCTCACTGAGACATCCTCCTGCTAGAGACAAAATGTAATAAGCTCTCACAGCTCACCGCCATCTGACTGCTTGCAAATCAACATATGATGCTTTGCATCACTGAAAATGCTCCACATTCCACTTGCCAGATCGTCAAAATATTTTAATTACAATTATGTCCATGTTAGCAGGCCTTTAAAGAAGGGTTTAAGTTTAGTTTGTAAGTTTGTGTTTGGATTTGTAATGTTGAAACTTGTGAATTGAATAATCATTGCAGTTGAGTTGACTGTAACAGACAAAACTGTAACTTCATGTTTTGTTATGCATGCATTTGAAATTTATCTCAAAGTCTATGAGAAGAACATAGATTACAGATTTTTGAGAACAGCATTCTAAGAATATATAAGTAAGTAAAAGGAACATGGAGAAAACTGTACAACCAACAATTTCATATTTTGTGCTCTTCACCTAATTTTGTTATAAAAGAAGAGCACTTACTCTTTGAAAATATCTTCACAGGATTGCCATCCCACGGCCAACCCTTGAACTGCCATGTTGGACCCATCACAAACACAGCAACCACGCGATCCCAGTCTGCATTTTTCAGTTTCTGGGGGTTGTCTATAACTTGATATGGCACAGTGAGACCACCTTTCCGACGCATAAGTAGGAATTCATTCTCTTTCTTTGCACCTTGACGTTTCTTCTCTTCAGAACTCACAAATCTGCAAAATATTAAATACATATAAAACCACAAATTGTTTGATATTATTCAGTTGATTTAGGCCAAGCAAGAATGAAAGTAAATGTCTGCACACTGAGATGAGAATAAACTTCTAATCTCAATTTGAAAGATAAATTTTGTGTTTCAATTTTCAGCATAAAATGTGTGATTTAAAAAAGATGCCTAAATTATCGTAGTGATACTGTTTTTTGTGAATGAGCTCGAAATGACTACAATGCAATCACACCAACTACCATCTGGAGAAAAACTTCATCTTCCTGGCCAACAAATCTTACAGAATATTTTAAGTAGTTCTGCATAAGATATTTTCTGGCTTAACTACACTCATAATTTTCAAAGCAACAAACTGCAAAATAATGTGTTTATCTCAAAAATATACTTCAAAAATCACAAACTCTGACAATCAACACTGGGTAAGGGGTTTAGCAGAGGAGACAATCTTCCCTCTAGGCACCACATTCATTTATGAATAACACAAATAGTCAGGAGCATTTCAAACCTCACCTCAGATCCTGCAGAAGATCTTTAGCATTGTACATTGTAATTAGGGGTGTTGTTGCAGGTGGTATGATTATTATTGGCGTCCGAGAGATCTTCTTGTTCCGCCGAACTGCAATTTTTGGCTGGGAATAAAAATTGAAAGTAAGTATCTTCACTTAACCGTTCAGCGTGGTTTGACATGTATGTTTCGTCAGGTATTTAAATCGTCTGTGGGGGTTCGACGTCTATGTTTCGTCCAGCTCCACACCTATGTTATAACGCCCATAATAATTGATGGTTTTGCTGTAGATTGTTAGATTTTTCGCTGGCCTGTTGTCAGGAGAACCGTATCTAATGAGGCATTTGTTTAGCTGCGCTAAGTCATCGTTACATATGCCTGTCTTGCAGCAAAATCGTGTTGCTTCTGGTAGTGGTTTCCTCCTTCAAACTGTTATAAATGGCGTGTTTTCTTTCCTATGAAGTTATAAACAGCAGAGACGTGATATGTGCTGTGTTTATAATATCATATTGCCCTGAGCTGGCCACACTAACACACTCAATTGTAATCCTTAGAAGAGGGATGTCCAAAAATTTATTCTTGCAACATCGATTGATTNCTTTCATTCACTACATACCAGCCAGTTCTTAGAATAACTTCATGAATTCTGTGGTCACCCCTATGACGTCTTATGCCACAAAATGGATGGAAAATGAAACGCAGAAGCACCAACACTTGTTATGATAACATAAAGGTTGAATTTACTGCAGCTAATCTGGCTAGCGATACGACTCATGGAGAGACATTTCTTCTTGTATTCCCCCCACGGGGAAGAAGGCAAGGCCGCACAGAAGATGTTTGGTTTACGGAAAAAAGAGCCAAATGAGAGATACGCAGTACTGGTGTGGTGAATGTGAGACAGCGCTGTGTATAGTAGAATGCTTCAATGCGTACCATACTCCACTCAAATTCTGAACCACCTGCTTCCTTTGCCGAGATACCGGGCGCTCATATTATAAGGCAAGGTTATAAAACCATCTTTTAAGATCATTTTAGTGAAAGTTTCATGCTTCAAAGCGTACCATTCACTGCTCAAATTCTAAACAAACTGCTTCCATTGCCGAGATACCGGGCGCTCATATTATAAGGTAAGGTTATAAAACCACGTTTTAAGATCATTTTAGTGAAAGTTTCATGTTCCTATCTCATAGAATTTAAGAACAATGATGAATAAATCATTTTCGAGCAAAATTTAAATGGCCGGCTGAATATATTACCGCCGGAGAGGCAGCCACGGAATTTAAATGACCGCGCAAAAGGGTTAATAATCAAGACTCCAGAAATAATACTCAAATTTATTGGCCACTCACCCACAAATGTAGATAATGGCTAAAAATGTATTTGCCACTGGCACCTGTTACCTGTGAATAATGGGTAAGTATATTTCTGGAGTCATGGTAATAACAATACCACATTTTGCATCTGGAAGAAAAAAACGACATATACATGGTATGTGTTATGTACCTCAGCCACAGGTCTAAGTTGCGGAATAATTTGTTGAGATGGAGTCTGTACTTTCTTTGGCTGCGTTCCTTCAGTCATTGATTTGAAGATCATTCCGCAGTAAGTACTGAGGGTGTCTATCTTGAATCCCCCAGTTTCTATAAAACAATAATTACTTACGTTATTGTGGGAAATAAATAAATGTAATTATCGGATGCAATTTGTACCTATATATTCTTCAAAGACAACTAACAATGCCAATATCAGTATAACTGGACAGCTACTACTGTAAATAGACCATAAATGAATATAAAATGTAAAATCTGTGACATTCCAACTTGCAAAAACATTTATTTATCGACAATCTACCCACGGAGGTGCCAATAAGAAAAAAGTCCGTAACAGTACTCAGAGATTCAGTATGCTGCCTATTCAGGAACTCATTTGCAAGCATACCTATGCGAGTAAGAACATACTAGTATATAATAGTTTCAAAAGGTCTCACCTGTGTGTCTGATGAACCTCTCTTGATCATATCTGCTGTACATAGTAGGCTGGGGTATGGACTGGATAGGAGCATTTCGTGGGATAACTGGTGAAGGTTGTGGACACCTGTCCTCCCTTCCTTCTCGATTTATAACTGACTGCAGCATGGCAAATATGTTATCTTCAAATATCTAGCAAATATTAAAAAAAACTTAATACATGAGTAGTATAGTATGTAGTAGCAACTGTACAGTCTTTTGTACTGCAATATCATACAGTTCAGCAGAAGTTCATCAACATTTCACAGGGATATGCTGCCTCCATCTTGCAGGTCAAAGAATACATTAAGTACCTTCAACATTAACTGTAGGTGCAGTCAGACAGAACATTTTTAAAATGCATATCAGTTTTGAATGTATATGCAAATTTGATGTACAATAATTATAATAGTAGTATTTAAATTGGCTTAGTATCTCTTGCAGGAAAATAGTTTTTCACAATTAACTCAAGATTCTTGTAATGAAATAGAATGAAATAATAATTTCACAAATGTAAACTGCAGACTATATGCTTAATTTGAGATATACAGCATTTCACAAATTATAACAAAAATTAAAGTTTTGTTCTTAGTGCAATATAATATAGACTCATCAGTTACCTTTCCAGTGCTCTGAAGCACAGTTGTACGTGTCCTCCCCTGCCGTTCTCTGGAGATGATATATTTTGTTGCAGCAACATCAAAATCTAACATGACATGGTGATCTGAGCCTAAACCTATATCATCAGTTCCTTTTATAGTTGTCCTCTTCATTGCCAGATGTTTAGCTTTGATAGCAACAATTTTTTCTATGGACATTGCTTCCGACAAAGACCTAAAATTTGAAAAAGATTTGGAATAAAAAGACTGCTTGTATGAAACAGAAATTTCTATGCCTATAAAGTTATATTATAAAACAAAGTCATGGGCAAAAATTTTTATTGGGCAAACAGTTCATGTCTAAATATAAATATTAGGTGGGAAAGACATAAAATTTTAATTATCACCAAGAAGAAACAGAGACACAGGTGCAAGAAATTGTGAGTTAGTTCATCTCTACATATGCCCCCTGCAAGGCCACACATTTTCCCCAACGATGCACTAGCTGCTGGATACCTTGATAATAGAAGGTTTCATTTTGACTGTTTAGGAAGTCCTCCACTCCAGAAATGACGTCATCTTCATCTTGGAATCGCTTACCACAAAGCAGCTTCTTTAGCCGTGGAAAGAAGAAGAAGTTGCTTGGTGGCAGGTCTGGTGAATATGGTGGATGAGGGAGAATTTCATTTCTCAAGCTGGCAGTAAGTGTCATCGTAGCATGACGAGCATGAGCAGCTGCACTGTTGTGAAGAAGTTGCACACCTTTTCCCAGCATTCCATGTTGCTTTTTCTTTATTTCCACCTGTAATTTTATCAGAAGGTTCTGGCAGTACTTGCCAGTGATGGTGATGCCCTTTTGCGCAGTCAGTTATGATGACATCCTGCCAATCCCAGAACACACTCAGTATCATCTTTCCAGACGACGGCTGGGATTTGGCCTTCTTTGGTGGCAGTGAGTCTGCAAGTTTCCACTGTTTGCTCATTTCCTTTGTTTCAGGGTCATAATGATAGAACCAACATTCATCCATCATGATCAAGCGGTCGAGAAATTCCACCTTTTTGTCTTGACACAACTGAAAAAGTTTCTTTGCCACATCAATCTATTGCTGTTTTTGAACTGATGTCAACAGTCATGGCACCCAACACACAGTAACCTTTGTCATGTGTAACTCATCATGGATGATGTTGAAAACCGACCCATGGCTAATGGGGACCTCATGAACAATAGCTTTGATAGTTATGTGCCTACTGTATAGGATCAAAGCTTCCACCTGTGCCACAATTGCTGGTTCCTCAACGAGAGATGTCTTCCACTTCGGGGTTCATCTTTTAAGTTTGTCTGGACACAATGAAAGCGCCACTTCCACCTGACCACTGTGTCATATGATGGTACACCTTCCTGATACACAGCGGTAATCTGGTCATGGATCTCCCTTGCAGGCTTCCCTTACAAATGCAGGAACTGTATCACAGGATGAGCCTCCACTTGCTCAACTGACATTGCCATTTTGCTTCTGCCTCTTCCAATGGCTCCTTCTGCCTACTTGGTGCAGGAAAATCTGACTGTTCGGCAAGCTCAGGAAATGGGCTATCTCCTATATAGAACGATATTTTTGAAGTATGATTTTCTTATGGTGATAATTAATACATTATAACTTCCCATCATATATGCATATATGATAATGTCAACAGGTTGAAATCCATTTATCAAAAAGGACTCTACAACTTTAACAAATACACACTTGATTTTGTTTAATACTTTACAGATGAGCAACCTTTCATATACCAATTTGGGGCATTAGTACAACATATTAATAATTTTGTAATTATCTTTTGTATTAAAACATTACATTAACAAAAGTTTAATATTTTTAAGTCTGTTATCATAAACCATTTCAGGACACCATATTAAGTGACATTTGCTTTGTACTCACCTCTTCATGCATCTGCCAGACTTTTATCGCCGATTTTAATAACTAAAGAGTTGGGGTGGCATCCAATATCATAATGTGCAAACTGAATTTTAAGAAAGTGTGTCAAGTGGTTGATAAAATGAAAGGGAACACACAGACAGCGTGGCTATCTCATATGTCTATTTTTTCCTTTAGGAATGTAAAGCAGGCTAACAGGAATGAGATTGTTTATTATTACATTATACGAGGAGTGTTCCGTATATAATGCCTCCTATTTCTTTCAATGAAAACTACAACAGATACAGAAAGCATAACAACACAGTTAAATAGAGCAAGATTTCAGCTACTTACAGTTAATTTTCCACATAATCACCACCATTCATCATGCACTTTTGCCAGCGATGAACAAAAGCCTGTATGCCGCTCTCATAAAAGTCTGCACTAGCAGAGGCAAGCCACTTTCTTACAGTTGCAATGACAGCACTGTTGTCTGGAAAATGTTGCCCACGTAGTCCATCTTTCATAGGCCCAAAAAGATGGAAGTCTGAAGGTGCTAAATCGGGGCGATAAGGTGGATGTGGTAGGACAGTCCAGCCAAACTGGTATGGGGTCTAGCATGCTGCAAGCGAAAGTTTGTCTGCTTCTCTGGCCTGACTCGGGAAATGTGGGCTTTCAGCTTAATCAGTGTCATTTTGTAGCGTTCAGAACTGACAGTCTCACCAGGCTCCAGGAAATCCAACAAAATCACACTCCGCCTATCCCAAAAGACCATGCTCATCACTTTCCCTGTGTCTTAAACTTCTTTTTTCTTGGGGAATCTGGATGTCGCCACTCCATGGACTGTCTTTTGGATTCCGGCTCGTAGTGGTGACACCATATCTCATCTCCGGTGATGACGCTGTCCAGAAACTTGTCAACTTCAGCCTCAAATTGGTGCAACAGGTCCTGACAGACTTCCATTCAATGAGTTTTGTGGTCCTGTGTAAGCACCTGCAGACCTACCTGGAATAAACTTTGCAATAATCCAGCTTCCCCAACATCGTTTCCAATGCATTACAGCCGACATTAAGCCTTACACACAGTTCCCTGGCCGTTATCCGCTGATCTGTAGTGATGAGCTGATCGAGGCGCTGTTCATTGTGAGAAGTAGCAACTGAGCAGGGATGCCCAGGGCATGGTTTGTCGTGCACTTCACTTCCGCCACTGTTGAAACATACTACCCACCGCCTCATTGTGCTGACATCCACTGTATCTTCTCTGTGCACCTTTAGCTAGCGTCAATGGATGTCAGTGGGTGCAATATGTTCGGCAGTGAGAAATTCAATAACACATATCTGCTTCATATGCACTTCTATGTCAGACGCCATTTTGGTAGACGGCTTTGCTGTCGCTATCTGTCGCATGACAACCAAACTGACATTACATTGACGGGAAAGTTCAACCTTTACTACAACACCACCAACATCCAGCTCAGACGTTACAGATTAAAACAAAAAAATAGGAGACATTATATATGGAGCGCCCTTCATACTAGTCAGAGAATTCTAATCTGTTATTCACCCAAAATCAATCATGCCATTTTCACCTGACCTGAGCACTTGCATTTCTTGCAATGCTGAACCAGTTCTTTTAGCCTGCTTGTGATTACCACTGCAATGCAAGTCATTGCTTGAAGGAGGCATTATGAATTGGATGTTGACATCATGCTTGCTGGTAAAAGATTAGAAATGAGAAATCTGGGCATGATGTGGGAAATTGGACATAATTTGAAATAATGACAATCTAGTCTGATGGTATCAGAGCAAAAAGATGGACAACCTGGCAACAATTTTCATGATTCCACATACTAAGCTTTTCCAAATTTAAGAACTTTCTTTTACGGATTAGGATTGTGAGATAAAATTCAGAAATTCAGAAATCACTGATCCACCTCAGGCATTAACACACCTAGACTGCTGTGATGATCCTGAACCCTGCTGGTATGGATGGTATCTGCTGCGGTTTCCCTGAAGCTTCATCCTCTGTTGGAGGCTAGGATGAGGATGACTACTGCCTGTGGCAGCTCCAGGTTCAGCCTGACTGCCATCTGGTGGTTGAATTTTATGAGACTCCATATTCTGAAACAAAGCCCACTTATGAACTCACTGTAGTGTTTATGCCATTGTTTGTGACAGATGGATTTTTGAACACAATCAGAATTTTGCCCTGGGAAAAATGGTACTACGTGGTAAAGTTAAAAATGAAAATGTATTTATGTGATTAATGGATCATGCACTTATCCATGACTACACATTTTGGAGTGGAGGTACGTGGGCAACTTCATACCATGGCTAATTTATGACAGGGAATAGAAACCTCAGTGAGCCCCAAAGCTGATCCATACATGGTGGCAGAGAGGAAAACCTGGGCACCTGCCAGGAATCAAACTCCAATTCTCTGGTCATCCAACTGATAGACTAATCACTACTAATGACTGAGCTCTCCTGGGCCCAGTAGCTGGTAGCACAGGGTCAAGCAAAGTACAATGTATATGTAGTATATGTTTGTCACAGCAGTAGGAGAGAGAGTTTCAGGACTCCCAGAGTCGTGAGTCCCATGGGACTCAGAACCAAGAATGAATGTGTTTGTGAGGGCCTGCGCCTATTTATGAGACGCAGATATAGGTGCTGCAATTGTTGAGACTATTTAATACTATCTTAATCACTGTACAGGAGTCACAGTTCTTGTGGTGTGAGGCAGATTTTCGTGTATCCTGCAGTGGAACTTTAAGACCCCTCAATTGTTTCTGTCTCATCCCAGACACTGAAGGTTGTATGAATGTAATGGTCTAGACAATGAAAATTATTTTGGTTAAATTTTCCCATGGTGATGTCATTTAACATTTCACTTTTCCTGTTTTTTTTTTTTTATTTTGTTTTGTAGAAAGTTCTTAAAAGCTTGCGCATCACATTCAGTTTTAATTTTAATTTCTTTGGCCTAAGAGATGTCCTGTGTCTGCTGTGTATTTCACGGTCAGCAAGAACACTGATGAAGAATGTAATTATAATACAAACAGTAATAACATAACTAAAGCCAATGTCAGAAGTAAAGAAAGGTTTAACTGGTTTATTCTATGGTTTGATTTTAGGGAAAAAAAACAAAGCACTTGTCATAACTGGCATTTCTGAATACATAAAAATATAATTCATATATTTATAGACCCTGACAAGGGTAGTAATTTTCTCTTCCCAGTTGTCTGGACCAGTTCTGGGGTGCAACAAGCCACCTTTCCAATGGAAATTTGGAGGTTTTCTCCAGAGATGAAGCACTCATGGCATGAAGATAACCATATATCTCAATGTAATATCAAATATAAGAAAGAATGCAGCTGTATTTTTACCTCACGATTTATCTGTGTGGTACTAATTACGTACAGGGATAACTTTATATTTGCCTAGAAATATAATGAATTGTATAGTAAAATTTGTATAGGTAAGCATTTGTCTCATGTTTCCTATCCAAAATGGCCTGAAACAAGGCGATGCATTAATGCCATTGCTTTTAAATTTTGTTTTATGCCATTAGGAAGGTCCAAAAACACAAATGGTACTGAAATTAGATGGAACACATTGGCTGGTGGTCTGTGCTGACATAAATATGCTGGGAGATAACATGGATGGCATAAAGGAAAACACTGAAGCTATAACTGATGCTAGTAAGGACAGTCTAAAAGTAAGCGTAGAGAAAACTAAGTACATATTGCTGTCTTACCACCAGAATTCAGGGCAAAATCTTAACAAAGAAGACAGCTAATAGATCCTTTGAAAACGTGGAACAGTTCAAATATTTGGAAATGGCAGTAATAATCAAAATTTTATTCAGGAAGAAATTAGGTGAATGAATTCAGGTAATGCTACCATTCAGTCCAGAAGCTTCTGGCTTCTCATCTGCTGTCTAAAACATAAAAATTAGACTATACAAAACTATAATTTTGCCTGTGGTTCTGTATAGGTATAAAACTTGGTGTCTGATATGGTTGCCAGATTTTGTAAAATAAAAAAAGGAGTGATGTCTCGTTGCTTGTTTATGATGACATTTTTCACAACTAATAAGCTATAAAATATACATAATCAACATAGTACATAACTTACAAAATGCTACTACACATCTGTATTACATAGGACTACTACATATTTATAGAACAAAACAAATATTACGTAGCCCTATTACATATTTATAGAATGCACAAAATATTACCTAGCACACATTTGTAGAACACACAAATATTAAATACTACATATTTAAAACCTTCAAGGGCTTGTCGATCAGATTCTGTTAATTGTATTTCACTGAACTCTTAGCACTTTTTAATAATTGAACATCACCCTTTGAAAATTTATAAAATTCTGAACAGGATTTGCTTTCATAGTTAACTGTCACCTGGAGTTCTGCCTTGACTAAATCTGTTGAGCATCTGTTGCTTGTGTCACTCAAGTTACTTTTCATGAATGAAAAGATTCACTCAACAAAGCATTTGAGCCAGGGATGCTAAACAAAAATCCTACCACTTTGGAAATATTTGGTACATCACGTGCAGGTACGGAAGGAAAAAATGTACACCAGAGTGCTACATAATCACCATATCTGTTCACACTGTTGCAGAGGTAATCTCGATAGCTGCTGAACTCCCCGCACAGGTCATCAATGCAAACATTTTCACTTAGCTGAAACACTTCTATGGCTTTTTCAAAATCTTTGAACTCAATCCCTTCCTGTAGAGAAAATGTTGCAAGGGATGCACAGGGACTGTCATCTGTCACATCATATCTCTTTTTTGCAGATACTGAAGCATATTGCTATAAAAGCTGTTCAGGTCTTCAGTAACCTTTTTCTGTAATGGCATACACAATCCATTAATGAGTTCTTTTGCTTTGCTACCAAAAAAAGTTGTCTTTCCTTCTCTGCTGGATTTTAGAACTAAGAAGTTTCATTTGTTTGTAAGTCTCTAGTACACTTAAGTCAGACCTTTCCAGTGTTTTATCTACCATTTCCAGCTGACTTCCAATATCACTTAAGAAATTAAAGTAGATTTCAGGCAACACTGCTTCCTCTGGGTCATCTTTCATGAAAATGTTAGATAATAATTTTTGGCAGTTGGGAATACTATTGAAATAACTTTTCATTGCTTCCCAGTTCTGAAGCAGTTGAGAAATGGCTGTGTTAATGACAGCCACCTAGTTGGAACATGCCTCAAAATCTAAGTCCACTCCAAATTGAGAAATCAAAGCATGATTTTAACTCTTCTCTTCTTTTGGCAGAGACAGAGAAGTGATTATATATCTTTAAGACTACACTTTCAACATCAACATCTACTCTGTCACTTGCAAACTTAATTGTCTTATGTATGACATGATTAGAGCAATTAGCTTTCAGTAAATTTGGGTTTTTACTTCGCAGCAACTGATATACGAAATGTTTTTTTCCATAATTCACATTGGCATTGTCTGCACAATAAGAAGACACATAATTTACATCCAAGTTGTACTTTTCTAAGCTCTGCAGCACCAAACCAGTAATTGCCATAGACGTTTCCTCAGCACTTTCAACAAAATCTAGAAGTTTATTCTGCACTCCCTTTAAAGGGTCGACGTACCGGATGCAAACAGGGAACATTTTTCGATTGCTTCTGTTTGATGCATCGGTAACCAATAAAAAAAAATGTTAAGTATTTTCTGGACATCTTAAAATAGACACAAAGTCGTTTACACTTTTAGGAGCAAAAACGTACTTCACTATCATTTTCGCTTTAGTGTGTCCACATGAAAGTTTGGAAGCAATCGCGGAATCACTGAAAATATGCGACACAAGTTTACTTCCGCAGTCCAGACTGGAATAATTTAAGTTTTGTTTCACTGCATGATACACTAAACCAAGTTCGCACGTGGTGCTGTTGTCATACGCTTCTTTATTGTTCAAATTAACAAAGTATTTCGAAAGTTTATTTGAACTTTCAGAATTAAATTTTCCTTAATTTTATGTCCCTTGTATTGTGCATGTTGCCTCAGGTCACTTTGTCCACCGTGCGAAATACTAAAATCCTTCCTACACAACGTACAAAATGCCCGGTTCTCGTCTGGTCCCGGCTTAACCCACGAAAACATATCTTCCCATTTCTTAAGATATACAATATTTGATTACGTTTGGCCTGGAATTTCAACTTATTCCGTGGAGGAGTCTTTGATGGATCTTCTTCGTCCTCAAACATTTTTGCTAACTTGACACTGACTTTCCAGCGAATATTGAATGGATTAAAAATACACTACCACCATCACACTCAGCTTTGATTTAGAACCTCAAGTGGCTCAAGTGTCGCCAACATTCACGAAATGCAACATAACGAAAGAAATTATAACAATGTCATTTTCCAAGGAGTACAGAAATTTTATGATAATATTTAACCCACGAAATATAATTCGCAGTGGACTTAAATAAAAAAAACGGAGAATTATCCACGCCGGATAAACAATAAACGGAGGAACAAAATTATTATTATTAACAGAAAAGCGCATGAATGTGCATTACATAGATTCTGGGTTTTAGCCTTTGCTATAATCACACAGAGATTTATGGTTGTTTTTACATCTTGTGATGTGGTATACATCGCAAAACTGATCACATAGCGAGCACGCAGTTTTCGCTTTTTGGGCGAAAAAACGGAAGAATCCGGGGAAAACGAGGCATCTGGGAAACCTAGTGTCTGATATTAAGGAAGGAACATAGACTGAAGCTGTTTGAGAAAAGGGTGTTGAGAATATTTGGGCCAAAAATAGATGAAGTGACAGGAGGTTGCAGAAAACTTCATGAAGAGCTTCATAACTTGTACTCTTCACCAAGTATAATTAGAATGACCAAGCGAAGGAGAATGAATTGAGCATGTCATATAGCACTAATGGGGAGAAGTAGTATGCATATAGGAAACAGGTGGGAGAGCCAGAAGGAAAGAGACCACTAGGAAAACCAAGACATTGGTGGGTGTATTATATTAAAATATATCCTTGAGATATAGGATAAGGTGGTATGGATTTGATTGGTCGGACTCAGGATAGGGTCCAGTGAATGGTTCTTGTAATCATGGTCATGAACCTAAGGCTTCGATGAAATGCTGGGAAACTATTGTGTAGCTGCACAACTGGGGGCTCTCAAGAAGGTTTCAGCTCCATCAAGTTAATTTTAAAAGTAAACAGAAAACCTGGTTTGTATTTATATTGGGATACTGTATATAATTTTAATATTAGAAGATAGTATGTTTTCCAAACGTTTACATACACAAACGAAAGTGACCATGCAAACTCATGAATATCCTCTACATATGTTAGATAGATGCTACATTAATCAGTCCACAAATATCGATAATCGAATTCTTTCGATCTACGCCCGCAACTGTGACTTGTGGAAATAGATGAGCTGAAAAATTCGCGTACGTTCGAAGTTTGTAGACAACATTTTGTGTAGCCTTCCGCGTACAAATAACGATCTGAAAATGATATTAGCTTAAATTAGTGTATTACTTCGAATAGACGACGCGTATTTTACACATTTTTGCCCCTGTTGAAAGACTGAGGTGCGTTTCCCCCGTTGAACATTTGAGGTACATCTTAAATTCGAGTTATATGCACCTTTATAATTTTTTCCCCTGAAACAAAAACTGGATGTATCTTAAATTAAAGGGCCTTATATTCGAAGTAATACGGTATTTACTGATTTTCGAAAACGCAGTGTGAACTTACGTCAGAGATTATATTATTTTTTTGAAATGTCGCACTTATCCTTATAAAAGTCTTCAAAAACACTCTGCTATGAAACGCTCCCTCCGAGTTACCACTTGCGAATGGGGTTGATCGCGTTGATATTACCGTTTACAAGAGAGTGTGCTAAACAGTGATTCGTTGCCTAGTAACCACAGAATCAACGAAAGCGCCTGTTGCGTAGTGAAAAGTTATTGGTTGCTTAGCAACCACATGAATCAACGAAAGCGGCTGTTGCGTACTGAGCAGCTAGATTGGTTGCTGAGCAACCAGAAGAATAAAGTATTTTGCGTGTGTTTATATTTTTGCACGTTCACATATGAGAATTTATGGTAAGGTAAAGTCCCTGTGCTTAACTAATTAAGCACTACGCCATGAAGGCGTATGGGGGAGTGGATGTATAGATCCACATTTTATTTACCTCGGCACTAGCTGGAGGTGAGTGGTCATCTTCACGACCCGGCCACTTTACCTCAGGTACCCATTTGATAGGAGGTTGGGTGGACCTCAGACCCGGTCTGAAAGATGTGAAGATAAAATTATTGATTCTACCTGGTCTCGAACTCCGATCCCTCGGTAGTCCAGGCCGTAACCAGTCACTCTACCTACTACGATATCCCGGCTCCAGAGTAACAGAATTTATTGTAAACAAAAATTAATTCTGTGTACAATTGAAGAAAAACAACCATCATAAATATCCTAAATAATCATATAGAACTCTGAGCATACAAAATGACGGAGCTGTGATTAAGTTCAGTGTTCATCGCTCTTGTCCCATATTAAGAACAAGTTGCAATTTTAACCATTATATTTTCATAAGTTTCAGTTCTGGATTCTGTAGATGGGGTTAATGAGAAATAGTAAGTTGAATATAAAACAAAACTTTAGTAATTTCTCAAGAAAGACTTCTTCATATCAACCTCAACCTGTTAACACTTTAAATCACAGTAGTTAACATATGTAGCATCTGCTTTTGTCGTCTGTTGTCCAAAAACATAAAAATTAGAATCTACAAAACTATAATTTTGGCTGTGGTTCTGTATGGTTGTGAAACTTGGTCTCTGACATTAAGGGAGGAACATGGACAAAGGGTGTTTGAGAACAGGGTGTTGAGGAGAATATTTGGACCGAAGAGAGATAAAGTGACAGGAGGTTGGAGAAAACTGCATAATGAGGAGCTTCATAACTTGTACCCTTCTCCAAATATAATTAGAATGATCAAGTCAAGGAGGATGAGGTGGGTATGTCATGTAGCACGAATGGGGGAGACGAATGCGTATAGGATATTGGTGGGAAAGCCAGAAGGAAAGAGACCACAGGGAAGACCAAGGTGTAGGTGGGTGGACAATATTAGAATGGATCTTAGAGAGATACGATGGGATGGTATGGATTGGATAGATCTGGCTCAGGATAGGGACCAGTGGAGGGCTCTTGTAAACACGGTAATGAACCTTTGGGTTCCATAAAATGCTGGGAAAATCTTGAGTAGCTGCAGAATTGGCAGCTCCTCCAGATGGGCCCAGCTCCGTGAGTAAGTAACCAAGCAAGCATCTGCTTTTGTATTAAAAATTTCTGCAGCTTGTCCACACACTATATTTGTTTCATATGATTATCAGGACAATGTTACAAAGGTGCATTATTTTTTCTGTGAGATAGGAAGTGAGTTCTTAAACAGTGTTGATGAATTTCATACTTTGAAGGGTTAAATGATACAGAGAACATAGACATATATATTCAGAACTTTATTCAAATAAAGAAGCTGCTATTTTGCTCTTTTGAATTGATTGTATAGTGTATCAAGATTAACTCATAGTGCTCAGCTGTAGCTATGGCTGTCACTCACCAGCAGTTGGAAATTCACAGAAGCTTTTAGATAAGCATAGTGCTGGTATCCTCAATAATAATAATAATAATAATAATATAGTCAATGCAGACATTCAGATATTCCATCAAAACATGCTAAGTCTAAATAATAAAAAGCTAAATATGGATGTGCTACTAACAGGAAGAAGAGTAAATATACTACAGACAATGTTAAACTCATATGGCTTGCAAGCAATAGTTGATGTCCCAACAAGAATAGGACCTAGAAGTCAAACAGCATTAGATCAAATAAGATTGAACAAGGGCTTATGGGGATACAATCTTAAGGTGATCGAAGAATTTAAAGAATACTATTGTCATTACAAAAAAATATACAAGAAAGTTATCAGTGAAGCAAAAAATTAACTAATAACATGCGAATAAGAGCATCAGGGAATAAATCAAAAGCCATGTGGGAGCTAGTTGAGGAGGAACTAGGTAAACAGAAAAAAGCAGCGAAAAATATTGGAATAAGCGAGAATGGAGTAAATATACAAGATCCAAAAACTACAGCCAATGTCTTTAATGGATACTATACCAGTATTGCCCAAAAGGTATTGAGTGGCAATCCATTATCCAAAACCAATGAAGTTAATGTCAATACAGTAAAATATAATAGTAACAGCATGTTCTTAACCCCAACTACTGCAGACAAAGTAGCAAGCATAATTAAAGGATTGAGTAATAAAACATCAATGGGAATATATGATATTCCAGAGTATATTATTAAAAAAAAAGGTTTTCCTAAAATAACAACTGCTTTGACACATATAATAAATATGTCACTCTCAACTGGGCATTTTCCTGATCAACTAAAAATTGCAAATGTGAAACCTTTGTATAAGAAAGGATGTGATACAGAAGTTGGGAATTATAGACCAGTTTCACTAATTTCTGTTTTTTCAAAAATAATAGAAAAATCATACATAAAAGACTTTTGTCATTTTTTAATAATCACAGCATAATTAACAATAAACAGCATGGTTTCTGTAAAAGGAAATTAACAAATACTGCAACTGCAGAGTTTATAGAAAGGGTCTACAAATCATTGGATGAGAGGGAAATAAGTACAGGGATATTTCTGGATCTGTCAAAGGCATTTGACTTACTTGATCATGATATATTGCTAAGGAAGATGACAAGAATGGGAATAAGGAGGGGTTGTACTAAAATGGTTTCAATCATATCTAGAAAACAGGGAACAAAAAGTGGAAATTACATACAGATGTAAAGAAACTAATGAAATCACTATCTATCGCGAAAGAGACCCATAAGACATGGAGTCCCACAAGGTTCTGTTCTCTGACCAGTGTTGTTTTTGCTATATATCTATGATCTAGAGGCCGGCATTGAACATGGAAGGCCAACGTTTTTTTGCTGACGATACTAGTATTCTTATAACAGGAAATAGTGCTAATGATGCCCAAAGGAAAATAAATTCAACAATAAATGCACTCACAGAGTGGTTTGAAAGGAATATATTGGCTATTAATACAGAGAAAACAGCAGCAATATCCTTTCATCAACATAAGAAAGTACAAGTCGAATGCCCATCAATAAAGCTCTGTGATGCAGTCATCAATTATACAGAACATACAAAATTTTTGGGAGTTTGGCTGGATAAAAATCTAAGATGGTCTGCACATACTCAACAACTAGCAAATAAATTATGTAAAATATGTTTTGCCTTATGAGCAGTCAAAAGAGTATCAGGGTTAGAGACTGTTCGCACCTTATATTACGCTTATTTTCAATCCTTGTTATTATATGGATTCATATTTTGGGGCAATTCAGGAAATGCAA